AATGCGGAACTTTTTGAGTGCTTTATTCAGCAACCTTAAAGGTCTGGAAATAATTTTGAAGATGTAATTGTATGTGTTGGCCATGAAGGATGTGCATTAATTCATTTAGGATTACTAATGTAAAAAGACAAATATTTGCACAACAAACCCCAAACAAGTGAATCTAGTTATACTACTACAGGTACCTTAAAATCTTCAAAATTCTTTCAAAAGAAGCTTTCAATGTGCTATGCTCCTTCCCATTGATAAATCCTATTTCTAATTAATACAAACACTTAAAAAAGAAGAATACATTAAGCTCATCACAAATTTAATGAAATTACTATAATCTAATTTAGAAGTGTCATTCATGACTCTGCAGTTTTAAAGAGAATAGGGTTCTGCACCTAACTTTAGATCCAGAAATGAACTCTGAGAACATACAAGTAAGAGCTCATATTAATTTTAAGATGGGTTTTCACTGAAATTTAGCACTTTGCAAACTTTTTATTTTTTGTTCACTGTATGACCTTAGCAAGGAAAAAAGACAGATTAACCAAACAGCTCAAACTGACTAAAACACAGTGGATAGCTTATAACAAGGATTTTTCTGGTTTTTAATTCTTCATAACCAAAAATGTGCTCCTGCAGTATTGTGCTTAAATTGCCATTCCAAAATCTGTTATCACTGAACTATAGTGTCATGTTGCATTTGCAGTTAAAATACTTGGCTGCTGTCAGAAGGATTAAAGGTTTATCTTCACAGGTTGACAAAGTAAAGTATTACCATCTATAAACTCTGGGAATTAAAATTTAAGACCACCTGATAGGAAATCCAGATAATTAAGACATTTAACTTGGCTACCCATTTACTGTATCTCAAAGGCCTGTTTTTGCCAAACATAAGCAGGATTAGGAAGGCACAATTGCAATTGGCCATGGGATTCCATATCAGTTTTAACAAAAGCCTAAAACTGTTCTGGCCTCCAGGGGTTTTGCATAAAGACTGGGTAATGAACATACTGAACCTATGACTATACTATCCATATAAACAATACAGCAAGAGTTAAAGCATGTTCATTGTGTTGCGAGACTACCCAGTAATAACAATGAAGACAAGTTTGGAAAAGTACAGAAATCTCATGCTTTGGGATTTAAAGGTAGTCCATCACCATTTGGGAAGCAATTATTTGAGAAGATTAAATTGCCAGTTCTTGGACCTTTTCATGGGTATTCAGTTGTTGTCCACTGCAAAAGAAAACCTGTTAGAACAGATTAATTGTATACCTGCTAAAGTACAACTAAGTACAACTGTTACTGTGCTCTTAACTGAGGTCTTGATTCCAAAGTTATTAACCTCATGCTATAGAAATTCAATTCAACACTATGACTGTTCTCCAAGAAAACCCTGAGCAGTTCTACATGGGAGACATTTTCATGAGGAATAAGTACTTAACATACCAAAAAAAGGTATCTCCATTCTTATTCAGTTTTTCCCAAATGTGTCATCCCCCAAGAAGCAACCTGCTGTAAAAGTCATAAAATAACTGTTTCCTCCTTTTATGTTTCCTCTGTTCAAAATTCTACTTAAATGATTTAAAACATCCTAACGATAAGCTTCTCACTTCTTTTATTAATAGCAGATCTTTCCCCAGTGCCATATTTTAGTTTCTGGATGGTCTGGACAAACACAGGTGAGCCTAAAAATGCTTGCCAGAGTAAAAAAACAATGCATATACAGAGGGAAAATACAAAGAAGCAAACCCAAAGAAATTAGGTCTATCTCAATTAAAATTAACATAGACTTTAGTAGCTTAATCTACTGGATCATGCCTAGTTTTAGGATGATGCTGCTATCTCACACATTCAATTCAACTAATGTGAACTATAATCAATATTTTCACAATTTCCACTTGGATACTCAAATCCCAAAAAGCAGCCCCTAGATGCAGCCTAAACTGCATCTAAGCTTTCTGCTGTCACAAAATAGGTAAGACAATATTTCACATTCACATTGAGTACTTTGAAAATGGTGCCACTGATTCATTATTACTGCTATCAACATATAAATTTATCATGCTTAAAACAGGACATAGACATTTCATGTGTAATAGTTTCAAGAATGTTTCATTCTTTCAATACAGAAGACCACATTAATGATTTTAATATAAATGCCAAAAGTAGTTCATCAAGAGCATCTCGGCGTAAAATATTCAGCTTACTTCTGTTAAACTCTAACCTGTATCTCAAAAAGACACTGTGGTCATAAGCAATTTAAAAATGCCACAAAATTGAGAGCTGGCTTTCAGGTGTGTTAACAAATTAAATCATGTGTGTTACCCTTCAAAACAGTTTTCTCCTAGAGAATTGGATCTGCATTTTCAGTTAAGCAAACCTCCCACAAACTTCAGAAAGGCAACTTATTTACATAAAAACCTGCAGGGAAAGGCCCTTTAATTCTTAACTATGAGTCAGCTTTTATGTTTCACTTCTAAATGAAGATTTTTATAATCAGCAAAGAAAGGAAAACCAGTCTGAGGTGCTACTTAGGCTGTTAGCCCAGATGCCTCGACTCTGCAGAGAACAAACCAAAACTGCCATTAGCTCTACTCAGTTCTGCGTGCAGCAGGATGGCAGATCCTTAAATATGCAGCCCATATAACTTATGTAACTGAACGTGCAAATGCCCAATTGAAATACCAGAAATGCCGCACCACAAAAGCTCGGTGAGGATGGGATTTGGGTAATGTGTGTGCTTCCAATGCGATGCAGACTGACCGAGGTACAAACTGTGGCTGGGCTCTGGCCCCTGGAGCAGGCAGGGGGAAGCTGTGCCTGCATCAGGCCCCAGTGCAACAGCGCAGGGCCCTCGCAGCTCCTGGGGCTTCCTCCAGACGCGCTCCTGGTGCTCCTCAAGCGCGGCAGAGCTGCTCGAGTGGAGCCCGTGGAATAAACACTGCAAGTGTCAGGAGCACATGATCACCAAGTATTTTGTAAGTTTGCTTTTGGCACACCTTTGTATCTTGGAAAAAGGAAGGCACTATTTTGTGTACCATAGAGTTCTGCAGTGACATGCATCCATAAGCAAGTGCTGCTGCAAGCAACCCAGAGGTTTCCTACACAAATATTTACTTTGTTGAGAACATTTTAACCTTAGAGCTAAGACAGGCAAATATTAGCTACTGAAATCTTCTTCAAATGACATATTCCTTTACACATATTCCAAGTAGATCTATCAGGACATGACACTATCTTCAAGTAATAGCAAAGCAAACAAGGGAAATAATGGGGATTAGGGGAAAAAATTAATTTCATCTCATGTTCCTTATTTTTACAAATATGCCATACAAAATCGAATATATCTCACTATATACACATCTTTGTCCTTATCACATGACTTAAACACAAAGAAACCAGGTTGAGTTTTAGCTTTACCTAGAAATCTCTGAATGTCAGACCTTCTAATGATATTTTAATGTACCTTGATTGTTTGTGTTATCTTTTTACTGATGTGACAAAAATGGTATATCACTGTACTAAATACCTGGAATTTCATAAAATAGTAAATTTCTGTGTACCTAAGCGAAAGTAGTCAAATCCAAGCCTGGGAAGCAGGTATGATTCTAATGCACTCATCATTGACACTCTATTAAACTATAGAATCATTTGAGTCAAAAAGCTGGAACCTGTTGTGGTTCAGGATGATAAAGAACTGTAAGAAAAAAAGAATTAGTATTTTGTAGAATCTATCCAAAGGTCTCTGAGTCTTTAAGCCATAGGGACTCATTCTTCTCCCCTTGAACTCTGCAAGAGTTTGACACCAGCTGTAGCTGCAAGCCAAACAGAATTGGAAACATGGTATCTGAGATCAGGGAAGCTGTGTGTTTTACAAGGACCAGATCTGCACAGAAAATTCTCACAGGCTTGTCTTGGTTGTTTATATTTCTTTCTTCTTTCCAAAACACAAAAAGAAATAATGATGTGCTAGAGTTGACAGTCATCTAAATTTCAGATCAATTTGTATCTGATTAATAAAAGCAAAGTCTACTTAATAGGTGGAGTCCATTTACTCTTGGTAAAGCAAATTGCACTAATTAGAAATTCTGGTTTTGAAGCTTCTAATCAAAACAAATAAGCAAACAAAATTTCTAGTAAAGCCACCAGAATTCACATAAAACTGACAGGTAATAGTAGAATACCATAATCTCCTTTTGTATTTTGTCTTCATTACAAAAGTATGATTTTCATATTCCAGAGCTGATCAGAAGTACCAAATAGTTTGTTCTATTTTACAGGTGCAAGTATTTAAAGCCACCACTAAAAGCTCTGTTGCAGAAAACAGATACAAACCAAAATACATACAGGGCTATCTTATGCTTTCTACTCATAGAAAATTCCCAACTAAGGAAGTGATCAACATATAAAAACCAGAACAGATTTGGCAACTTTTGGTATTTCTGCTGTCCCACTAAGTTTGCTATCATGCAACCAGAAACTTTAGTACTAATGGTAAACAGCCACCCTGAATCTACCTCCAGCTCCTCACAAATAATTGAAGTCCTGGGTTCAGTAGTCACTGCATTGTCTTTTATTTCTAGCTTGTGCCTTTTCCTTAAAATAGGAAGGAAAAGCAGGGAGGATGAGAAGAGTGAGGAAGTAGATGCATACAATTGTCAGTTTCTAATTATTTGTAAATGTTATCGGTACTAACACCAATTGATTTGCTTTCCTGTTCACAATCCTGTCAGCCGTTTGGGTTCCAAGTGTGAACTTGGAATTCAACCCTGAGTGCTGAAATCAAGATTTCTACGAATTTACTGACCATCCCAACTCTGCAGCAGGAAGAAAAAAGCATCCACTGGATCTCTGTCTTTTCATTCCAAAGTCCTTATACAACCACTGCAGTTCTCAAGTAAAACGCTTATTGGTATCATATTACTACCCCCCCCCCACACACACACAACCCCCAACCCAGAGTAGCTTTTATTACTTCCATAGGAAAAAAAAAATATAGCCTTTACCTTGCAGATTTGAAAATAATCTGAAGTGAGCGTCTCCTGGATCTCCTCTCTGGGTGTCCCTGCAGCTCCCGCAGTCCCTCCTGGGTGCACGGAGCCACCAGCCCCACTTCCACTGCCACCGCTACTGCTTCCAACAGGGGATGCGGCAGTTAAACCATCCAAAACTTTGCGAAAATTAAATTTCTTCATTTTGGAAAAATCTTTAGGAAGATTTGGTGGGGGAGAAAGGATGTGTCGTAACACATTCAGCTACATGTAGCGACCGAGAAAGTCTTTAATGGTCCTCTGAGTGAGGCAGCACTTTAAGTCTCTTGCACCAAACAGAATGTCAGTATTAGGTATAATTGATTGAAAAATACAAAGGCTTCATTTTGTCAGACGCAAAAGCTACCTGGAATGGTCCTTTCCAAAAATAAATAAATAAATAAATAAAAAATCCACAAGCGGCAGGACTAAGATTTACGTTCAAACAAGGAACAATGGAACAACCGCCATCGGGTTCGCTCGCAAAATCCACATTTAGCAGTGGTCAAAACAGAAAAGTAAACAAAACATTCAAGCCGGCATCCAAAACAGCGGGATCCATCCCTCTACCTGATCTGCCTACGATCTGCCTTCAGCACTTGATTATTTCTGCAAAACTACCAAAACGCGTCTACATTCAATTTCCCCTTCCCCTCAAAACCCCTTTGAGCCAGGTATCTCTGACCCCGAGGTTTCCGCGGAGCGGATTCCCCGTTCCCAGCCGCTGGCGCGACTCCTGTCTCTGGTTGCCTGCCCACCCCAGCAAATGCCGGCAGCCGCTGCCGCACTCGGTGCTCCTCTCTCCCCTCGGGCTCCACGGCGGGGTGCGGGATGCGGGTGCGGGGTGAGAGTCCCCTCCTCTCCCCGCCGCCCCGGCCGCCGCTCTGCGAGGAGCGACGGCAGCGAGCGACCCCCTAAGCCGGTCCGGCCGTCCCGGGCTGACCACCCGTCCTGTCCCTGCGCTGACGGACCCCCGCCCGTCCCGATCACCGAGCCTGTGCCGCTGCCGTGCTCTCCCCTCGGCACCGCTCCGGCGGGACGGGGCTCCCTCCGGCGCCGGGGGGACGCGGGGCGGGGAGGGGCTGGTGAGGAGCGGAGCGGGGCAGGTGAGCGGGTGAGGAGGGCGGTGGTGGCGGTTCCTGCCCACCCGGCGCGCTCGCAGCCGTTCTCCGAGGTACTGAAAGCTCCGCCGGCGTCAGCCGCAGCTCCTCCTCCTCGCTCCTCCTCCTCGCCCTTCTTCCTCCTCTTCCTCCTCCTCCTCTCTCTCCCTGCCTCCCGCCCCCGTCCGCCGGGACCCCGCCCCCCGCTCCGGCCGGGCTGTGGGCGGGGGGAGGCGGGGAAACGTCAGTGATTGACAGGCACCCGCAGGTCCCTGTTCCCGACTGCGGGCAGCGGCGGGGACGTGACTGCCGGACAGGGAAGAAGGGGCGGGCCCCGCGATCCGCAGCCTCTGATTGGAGCGCTGCGATGATGGGCACCGCTCCCACCAATAGAAGCGCAGCTTCGCGACGCCCCGCCCCCAGCCCGGGGCCTGGGGAGCCCCCGCCCCACTGCGGCGCGAGCGGCAGCGGCCGCGGAGCTGCTGAGGGGGAGCGGCCCGCGGGGCTGGCGGGGTACAGGGTTTATGGCGCTGGGGGGCACTGAGAGTTGGTGTCGCAGCCTCAGCTGCGTGCGGGAGGTCGAACAGACCCAAAATTCGGCATAAAATTGTGTCGGGAGTTGGGTTGGATAGTAGGAAAAGGTTCTTCACCCGGAGGGTGGTTGGGCACTGGAACAGGCTCCCCCGAGAAGTGGACACAGCACCAAGCCTGACAGAGTTCAAGACGTGTTTGGACAATGCTCTCAGGCACATGGTGTGGCTCTTGGGAACGGTCCTGTGCAGGGCAGGAGATGGACTCAGTGATCCTTGTGGGTCGCATCCAGCCCAGGATATTCTGTGATCCTGTGCAAATGTCACGGGAGGTCTTGGCGGTGGCAGGGAGCGGTCCTGAGTGCGAGCCCCCGTTTCTCTCCGGTTCCGAGGGGTTTGTGCGGGTCCTGCTCAGCCCGCGCGCTGCCATTGCTTCCTCGGGGCAAATTCCCAGGAGGAATACAAAGCACCCAGGGCTGCCGTTCCCGAGGCTCGCTCCGAAGCCCTGCAAATCGCCTGGGACAGCTCTGTGGCCTCTGAAGCGCGATCCGGCACAGGAGGTGTTACACTGCACACAAGACTCCATAAAAAGGTTATTCAGGTCAGGAACAAATGAGGCAGCGATTAAAAGTGACTCATGGCACAGCGCTGTCAACGTGGTTGGAAGCCGAGAACGGAATAAAGTAGTGTAAGAAATAAGCACATAACACCTCTCCTGTATGGGAATTAACCTGTAACACCTCACCAAAGTGTTGCACATTTCTCACACTTGAGGTGACCAATGAGTGCACACTGGTCACCTCATTTCCTCAGATATTTTAGGGGTGCTTAGGGAATCTAATACCCATTCTAACCTCTGGTTTAGTTTTTATGAATCTTACAGTTCCATGAAGTAAGATAAAAGTTTTTATTTCAGCAACTTACACTGAGATCCATGCTTCTTTTTTTTTTCACTTTAGCTCATCCCTTTGTGTTCACAGGTACTCCCCATCTGCATGATAAAAAGATTCCAGTAAAGTTCAAAGAATAAGTGTAGCTTCACTTAATACCCTCATGAAAAATAAAGGGTACATTGCTGATGAAACTGGAAAGGTTGATAGGTTTCTGTAGTGAGGAAAAAAGGGAATATAACTTTGTATGGGAAACAAAATATATGAGGACTATGGCAAGGAGACAGAAATGAAAAAGGGCATGGAACTGAGTAAGCAAATCTGTAAAGATAAAAGTAGAGAATTTTGAAGAATGAGGAAAAGTCAAAACCCAGTTGAAGCTATTTGAAGAATGTCATGTCCTACTAATACTATGTTCACCAGAGGCAATGCAAGTAAAAAAAAAAAAGGCTAACAAAACCCAAAAGAAAGATAACGACATTAATTGTAAATAGGAAAGGGAAAGATAAGGTTAAAATGAAATAATTAGGATGAAGAAAATGACACAGAGACTTGAAAAAAAGTCTGTCTGGGAGTCAGGGGGTACTAGAGGCATAAAATCTGATAACACAATAGTTTTACAGTTCTAGGGAGGACAGAGATAAGATGGTTTGTTTGAAGTCAAGAAAAGGAGGAAAATTAGAAGAATGAGTGATAACTTTGGAGTTGGAATAAGGTACAGACATTTTTTGAATACCAACATTTCTCTTCCAGAGGATTGCTATGGAGAGCTGGGTATTCATTATTAGATACTACCTCAGAGTATCCAAAAGGGTGAGCAAGGATCCTCACACTGCCAGTGTGCTGTTAGGAAAACTGACTTGAGAAAAAAAAAACAAAACAAAACAAAACAAAAACAAACTGACCAATAAAATACAATCAGTCCTGTTTATAAACACCAGCTGAAAACAAAACTTGGTCTCACTACTGGTGCATGTAAGGCATGCATGTGCCCTTTGAAAGTTTTTCTCTAAGCTGGACACAAATACAGAAGCAGAGGGGGAGTGATGGAAATGAGAGTTCTGGGATGGTGCAGAGGGAGACAGGACAGTGCAGGACATGGGAAAACTCAGTAACAGTTTTGACAGGCACAGAAAGGAGCCCCGTTGAATGACCACATTGCTGAGAAGTTTTGTTGTATAACAACAACAAAAAAAGGGAACAATTTGGTTTTGGCACAGTAAAAAAAAAAAATTGCGCTGCTTTTTTTTTTTTTTTTTTTTTTTTTTTTTCCAGTGGAGAAAACAGCAGTGAACACGAGGCATTCTATTGCTGACTTGTACTGCTTTAGATGGTATTGGTATTTCAAAGGATACTTGTGAGATTGCCACCATGAGTTTTAATAAAAGTTGATAAAATTAGGAAAATGTGAAAATATTTTACATATTAAATTGGTAAATAAATGAAGTTAAATAATACATGCCAGTGCATTGTGGGAAATATGTATCTGAATCTGTATTTTAGATAGTAATGAGAGGGTATTCTCTTCAGTGTCTTTTTTCTGAATAGTATCTTTTACATTTAGTAGTCATTTTGTTCTGCAAGGTCAAACCAAATGTTAAAAGGATAACAGTTCACTACAAAGATTTTGCTGAGAAAGAAGATCTTTAACAGTCCACACCATCAAAATTCATATGAACTTTCATTCTGATTTTTGCTTAATGAAGCTTGTGATTATGTGCAGTAATGTGAAAAGACTGGTCAGAATCAAACCTGGCAAAGGAAAGTAATATTAATTCAGTCTTCTTTCAGTCTGATTCAAGAACTGATCAAGAAAATGAAGAATCAGGAAAGATGTGCTTAGATCAGCTTTCTTGTTTATTTTTTTTTTAATAGAAAATCCTTCAGCCTGTGGACTAGAGTTTCATGACTTTTCAAAGCTGCAAACATATTTTAATCTCAGGTCATATTTTTGGTAGTTAAGAAAAAATACATGCAGAAGTGTGCAGTAAGTGATGGTTTCACAGTTGACACTTTTTAAGTGATTCATGTGAGCCCCTTTGATAATCCATGTGTTAGCAGTTAAAAGCAATGACTCTTGAGAGAAATCACTGTATGCCCACCACAGCAGTCTAGACCACAGCCTTGCAACTACACACTGACAAAGAACTTCTGTGCCTCTAGGGAAATGAAGGAAAAAGATGTAATCAAATACCAGAAACACATCTATGCCAATGCAGGCAAAACTGAGACTTTGCACAGATACCTATTCCTCATTACACTGTGGGATATTTGCCAGTGTTGCCCATGTTTCTGTGTAATTCCAGAACATCGAATGGCAGGCAGCAAGCATAGTGTTCCTGCCTGCAGAGCTCCACTAAAAATATCCCCAGTCGGTGCTGAATATCTGGTTAGAACAGCTTGCTGAACTCTATCAATTAGCCAGATCTTAATCTATTTAATGTCTTTTATTAAGGCTATATAATGCTAATGTTTTAATCAAAATGTCAAGCAGTACTAAATCAGATTCATTAGGAAGGTCCAAGTCTATCACATCCATGTGGTTACCTTGATCAAACAAACCTGTAATCGCATCAAAAACTGAAGTCAGGCCTGCTTGTCAAGTCTTGTTTCCATAAGGCCATGTGGACTTGCTTTAACTCTTTATTGATTGAATCACACATGCATGACTGCTTTAATTTACATAACATGATTGTTTTGTCTAGGATTACCAAGGATGCCGGGTCTGTTATTACTTTGGTCATTCTGATTGATTCTTGGAAGAACATGAGCTTTCCTTTCATTCTTTGAATATTAGCTGTAAAGAGAGCTGTTAAAAATTAACATAAGAAGGCTGGAAGTCTCCTACTCTTTAAGGATCTTTGGATACCCAGGTGCCATAGAGACTGCTGATTGAAAAACAGCAGTGCCATTCTCATCCTACAGAGGTGTCAATGGATAGAAAGATAATTCATCTTCCTCATGTAATATTAATACATTATATTTTTTCTTTCTTTTCAGAAGTACAGGGTAGAAATATTTACCATAAAAATGAGATCTTTTATGCATGTTCTGAGACCAGATTTCTTAATGAAGAAGCTGTGGAATGTGTCTGTACAAAACTGAGAAGGTAATTTTGTAATAAGGACTCCATTTTGTGCAGTAGGCAAAGTACAGGTGTAAATTAGCCCATGGGAAGAGTTCCCTATGGATAAATCACCTCAGCTTGAGGTGATCTGTTCTCCTTGCTGTTGAAAAGGAAGGTCCTGCATCCATTTGAGCTGTTGGGAGGGGGGTTGTCCCTTCAGCAATGCATTCATTTGCTAGGAAAGTCAATAGTTTTATTTGGGGTTAATGAGCTGGATTAGCTCTGCACAGAGTCATACAAGCCCTAGAGGCAGTGCAAAGAAAAGCAGAGCCACGGACATGGACAGAAAGATGATGGTAGCCCTACTTTTGTTAAATGGGGTTCAGCTCAAGTGTATACTAAAAATTCATTGTGATGGTGGCCTATTGAGCTGCCCCTATTTGCTGGGGGCAAAGACACTGCCCTGTTGTGACAGAGCAATGGGGGTTTTTGCAGAGGTTCTCCCAAGGCTCTGGGACTCAGCCTAGATTTGGTTGCTCTGAAGCAGAGACCCTTTTCTAACAGGTTGTGGGGTCCAAGGTGTTAAAGAAGTCACAGAGGAGGTGAAACCTCAGGGATTGC